AACATTTGACATAATCTCCCCTCCATTCCTGAAAAAAGGCATCTTTCTTGAGATATGAGGTTTCTGTGGAACTGATATGAAGCCAGAGAGATTTGAACAGCCGTTGTGAAACCAGCTCAGTGTAAACGGGCGACGTGGTTAATAAGCAGTGAGAGAACGCTTGGAAAAAAGCAAATTAATGACGACGAAAAACAGTAAAAACATCATCGTTATTATCCTCATTCTGTAAATTAGATACAGCATCACTCACTGCCTGTTTACATAACTGTTGTATTGCATTTATCACACAGTTTATAGTAACAATAGTAATAATAATGAACAATGAAACTTGTTTTCTGTGCATTTCCTCCGTGTTGATTCCGCAGATGTTTGTCGTTTTATTTTGAAGGTGACAAAGCAGCTTTTGGTTTTGAAACGGGTAAAAGAAGGCAGGAAGGAGCAGAGATACTCAGTTTGTGTTTTAACACCCCCCCCCCCCCCCCCCTCCAATCTTAATTTGGACTCTTCCGAACCCCTTGGTAGCACCACATGGACCGACCCGAAGCTCAGAGCAAAGGTGGCAGTTTTCCTCCAAAATAAGATTTTTTTTGCTTTAATTCTTCCAAATCGCAACAGAAAGTACAGATCTCCGTTTCCTGCGCAGACATGTCGAGAGTTATTTTGAAGGTTTTTCCCGCCAGTAGTGAGTCGTCAGAGTGTAGTTCATGTACGGAGAGCTGATGTTGTACCACGTACTGCCCTGATACTGACAGTAAATGTTGACTGTGTTTTTGTGCTCAGTGCAAACCAGAGTCTAGAGTTCCAGATTCACTAAAGTTACACTGGCAGGCCAACGTTGTGCATTTTGTTCCTCTGCTGTTGCTTAAGAAGTGACATTGTGAGACATAGTGGAACAGTTTAACCTTAAAATGACCATTTGAATCAGTTACTCAACGTGTGTTACGATTCGTTCTTGAAAAAACTTTGCTTTTCCCACATGCCTCAACGGGAAATGGAAATAGATCAAGTCCAGGTTTAACAAAAGCAAATCTTTAGCATATGTTTACAAACTTGCAAACACTTCCTGCATTATTATCCAGGTCTTATTTATCCCGTTGTATGCTCACTATTTCCCCAAAACAGGCATTTTACTTAAATCTTATCATTTAAAACTCTTCTTCAACTTGTGTGTTATGTTGTGCAGGTCGCTGCAAGTCTGTGCATTAGACTGTCTGTGCAGAAGGATTTTTGAATAGCAAGATTTAAGTTCAAATGCATGTGTTTAAGAAAGTTGGAAAGTTGCTGAACTTGGCCACAACACTTCAATTCTACACAACTTTGTTCGTGTTAGGATGTGAGAAAAGCAAAACTTTCTTCCAGACATTAAAATGAAACTAGGTGAGTAACTGATAAATAAATAAGTAATCTTTTAAGCTGCCAATTTCCACCATTGGCCCCTCACAGTACTGCAAGAAAAATTCCCTTAAATCCAAAAAAGGGGCAAAATGCACTTTTTTTTTTGCAGTCTTTAGCAAATCTGAAGCTTTTTGACCTTTTAAAGTAAAAAATAGAGAACCAAATCAGCCAATCAGCTCTCTGTGCTGTTTGTTGGACAACTTTACGAGGAAGAGTCACAGCGGTGATGGAGGGGGACGAACCTCGTTCAATATCAAAAAGCATAAGAATCATTTCATAAATCAGCCAACCGACCAGTCAAATAATCACTCAGTCTGCCAGTCAAGAAATCAAAGCCTCAACCAGTCTGCCAATCAAGCACTTTATCAGTCAACCAATGAGAGCATGGCTTGGGGTGTGGGGTCATATGTAGCAGGCACACTCTGGGTCTATTGCTACTGAAAAGCCCTTCAGCACAACTGCAACCTGAAATACGCCTCGCAGCAGAGTTCAGCAGTGTCTTAAGTATTTACCTAGTTTATATGGTTGTCTATTCTCAATAGAATCTAGTAGAAATAGAGTCCAGACGGTGCCAGTAAAACTGATTTTTTTTGTTTTTTTTGTTACTTTTCTAAAGTCTAGTAAAGCGCTTAGTAAAGATCCCTCGGGTGACCACGACAACAGAGACAGAGAGAGAGAGGTTGTTCGAAATATTGAGATCAAAGCAGACTGTACACACACACTTTGACACTTCATCTTAATAAAAACAAGCGCAAACACTGCTTCACATCGGCCTCGTGACACTGTATGCACCTGTGTGTACACCGTGTTTTTGTGGCAATCATTACTCCTCAGATTCATACAGTGAGAAAACTTCAGTGAAGTCAAATGTTTTCCACTTGAAAGGGTATCGAGAAACCATTATTGCTAGACGCGCCCCTCCCCCCCCCCCCCCTTTCTTTTTGTTTCTCTGTGCAAAATGGATAAAGAGCTGTCTCGCTCAAAATCTTTCTGGATGCAACTAAAGCGTGCAAAAATAATAAAACAATCTTAAATAAAATAAAGCAATCAATCTGAAAAAAACTCAATAAATAAATAAATAAATAACAAGGTGATTTGAATAGAAGAGTCTCTTTTCAAAATGGGATATCACTTCACTTTGATATCGATCATTTTTACGCTGAAACTATACTGTATATACAACTGTACTCTGGGTTGACCTGCCCCAGGAAAGTTCATTTGTAAAACCGTGCATACATTTTTTTTAATAAGAAATGAAACTTGTGAATAAAGTCTAAATATGAATCCGAATTGATCAATGTCACTTCTGAAAAGAAACTCTTCGTAGAATTTAGAGGAAACATAAAAGCTTCAAGCGCCGTCACATCAGTGTTCTGGAAAACTTGCTCAGCAGCGGCCATCTTTAAATGACTCCTAGGTATATTTTGGTTTAACAGACAAACCCTGGCTATTTTCCTAATGGCACATTTTCCCAATGGCCTGTTTTTCCAATGGACCATTTACAAAATCCTATTTCTATTTCTAAAAAATGCATATCTATTTTTGGGATTCTGGGCTCTTTACATGGGTAGAATGAGTCTCCGGTCATGTCAACAGGACTTTTTTCGAACAATTGAGGGTTTGGAATAATGGGGCTTTGGAACAAAGTTATGGCACTTTGAGTCTTGAGCATTTGTTGTTCATTCTCAGTTATCCAATGACAGTAACTATAACTTGAAAGATATTAAAGTTTTGGTCTAAGCAAGATCGAGCTTGTAAAGTAATGGGAAAGTTGCTCCTTGTCTGGATTTCAATCTTAAATAGCTCAATTGTTTCTGACTAATATTTTGAAATATATAATACAAATAGTAGCTGCATAGGTTTGTGTTTCAAAGACAACGTTTTTCCACGACACTGGTGACTGATCTAATGCAAAATGATGAAGCTTTTCATGAATGAAACATGTAAAATGCTGATGTGCTGAGTTGATCACACTCCGGTCATGGCTGGTCGACACCTCAAACATCTTTAGCTCATTTAGCCTCGAGACTTTGGCTTAAGATCTTGTGCTTGCCGATCCAAACCCAAACCAGACGGATAGATAATGATAGTGGGTGATTTGTCCAAAAAGTCGTTGTATAGTTCTTACAGTAGCATTAATCCACTGAGAGGAAAAATGTTATTTGTGGAATTAAAAAGCCTGACGTGTATTTTGTAATATATTCTTGCATGAATATATCTCTTTGTTCAGTTGGTAAAATGCAAAGACTGAAGGTTTGTTGCAGGCTTAAACTTATTTTGTATTATTGGCATCTTCGCCAAGCTTGTCTCAAACCAGAAGTCTGGTCCTTTTAACTACATTTAACATTATTTACCCCACTTTGAAGTGAAAAAGTGAAATCAACCTGAGGTGTTATGATATGAACGTCTGTCATAAATCAATTAGCATTTTTCTTTAGCAAAGCCTGATCAATTATATATTTTTGATAAAGGTGCATAAGAATAAATGAAATTGATAAACTAGGGTTTAATGGCATTTTACTCAACTTTTGACAACATAACGGACAACTGTATTCTAGCCAAATCCAACGTCATGGATTAGCTTTGACTACAAGTCAGTAAACTTTATTTATTTTCTCATGCTCTGTAATAATGCAGCTGGAATATGAGTTTTCTGTTCCACTTTGTTCGTAAAGTTTGAGAAGGACTTTTCGACAAATCACCCAGCGGCGTAAAAACGGACAGAAAAGAAGATGTTCACCACCAGGGCAAAACACACGTTGCAAGAGTCCAAGAGTGTGTAGAAAACCTCATTGTGCACTTGTATTCATTTTGTTTTGGTGTTATCTCAAAGGTTTTCAGAGGAAAAATAAATACATCCCTGGCCCCTTTTCAATGTGTCTTTGCCCAGGTGTGGTAAAGTGACAGCACATGTAAACTTAAAGTGCAAAAAACTCCCAACAAAAAACTGATGAAGTTGCTTTTCAGGTTTTAGTTTTCATCCTGACCGCACCCTCTCCTCTCGTCTATTACAAAGTGGTAGTTCAGCCACTCTCTCAAGGCTAGTGCCAATCTGAAATCCAAAGAGAGATACTGCTTTTTATGGTCAACTTACTCTAAAAAATATAAAAAATAGTAATAATCGTACCGCTATTAAAAGACTGGTAACATCAACAAAGTTATACTTTTTACTACGAAAACATTTGTTAAAATTCATTGTTTTCCCTCCTCTCGAGTCTCAGTCAGTCAGAAAGTTTCGAGAAACACCACCAGGAACACCGCCCCTCCTACGGCCAGGCATACTCTGAGGATATTGATCAACTGCGGGAATGCACAAACCCCCCCAGGCCAATAAATGATGGATACATCTGATATAGTTGTAGCTGAGGTCAAAGGTCAGTCATTGTTTTGCGAACCCTCGACTCCAGTTGAATGATCCAAGAAGGGATCTTGTGTCTTTTACTCCAACAAAGGCAGACAGGGTTTTCCTCTCCGTCTTTGCAGTTCCCTTTGAGAAACTCCCAAAATGCGCGCAGGAATCTCCACAGGGAACAGGAAATAACATTAAAGGTAGTAAATATTCCTCTTTGTTCTTTTAAGCAACTCCTCCTAGCTCATAGCTTCCCTTTTTGCCGCCTTCCTCAGCGTTTCTCAGCTATGGTACATTCAGTAAACAAAGGACAAACCCAAAACTAGAATTTTTTTGCTTTTTGCTTCGCGCTATGGTACGGTGTCCTGCTGTCTGTCCAACGACGGTAATTGTTCGCTTGGTTCGCTGCCCTGGATGTCAATGGCAATAGTTTCTGTCTTGGCGGCGAGCGGGTGAAATATCTCCGATGTGGCTCGCGTCACACTGTCGTAGGATGGCGGGGAGGAGGTTGCGGAAATAGTCTCAGAGCACTCCATTGCTAATAAACTCGAGCCATAGTTTTCCCTCATCATGGCGGCAATCAACCCTTCTTTCTCAGGTGCGTCGTCCATCAACACCCCCTCGCTTCCTTCTTCTGCTTCACCCCCCGCGTGCCGAGGTGTCGTGATCTGGCGGTACAAGTAAGAGGCGGCCTTCAGCTGCCGCCGAATCAGGTGCCTCCGATAGCACCTTTGGATCACGGCGGCCGACACGTCTTCCTGTTTTCGCCTCAAAGTCGTTGTTATCGGCTCGTAGGAGATCTTGGATGGGTTTGCCATCATGAACTTCTCTTCCATCTGTTGCTTTAGGGCGTCCATCTCTCCTGACTCGCCCAGGACGCGCTTTGTGAATGCAAAGAGGATGTCCAGGCAGTGGATCTTATCCCCGCTGACCATGGGAAGGTCCATAGAGATTAGTTTGATCTTATTAGGCTTGCTGATGCGCAGAGGCTCTGACAGCGTGTCTGCAAAATCGGACAACTTGGCGTATTCGATGAACTGCGTGGCCTCGGTGTCGAACTTCTCCCAAACTTCGTAGAACATCTCAAAGTCGTCCTCGCTCAGCGGCTCCGTGCTCTCCTCCGTGGCCACGCTGAAGTTCTCCAGGATGATGGCGATGTACATGTTCACCACGATGAGGAAGGAGATGATGATGTAGGTGACAAAAAAGGTGATGCCCACCGATGGGTTGCCGCAGTTACCCTTCACGGTGGTCCCCGTGTGGGGGATGCTGGCGTTGCACTCCTCGGGCGAGTTGTTGAGGATGGGGCTCAGGAGGCTGTCCCACCCCGCGGAGGTGGTGATCTGGAACAAACAGATCATGCTGTTCCCAAATGTCTCGAAGTTGAACATGTCATCGATGCCTGACTGGCGCTTCACGTAAGCAAAGTTCGCCATGCCAAATATGGCGTAGATGAACATAACAAGGAAGAGGAGGAGCCCGATGTTGAAGAGCGCGGGGAGGGACATCATGAGGGCGAACAATAACGTCCGGATGCCCTTAGCGCCTCGGATGAGCCGCAGAACACGTCCGATACGGGCCAACCGGATCACTCGGAACAGCGTTGGTGACACAAAGTACTTCTCAATGATGTCCGCAAGAACGATACCTGAAAAACAGAAAAAGGAATAAATAACTACATTTATGTTTGGCATTCAGCTGGATGAATGAGACTTGGATTATACTGCATGAGTGGTGTAAGCGTGTGTAAACAGATGTTTGCATAGCGTTTGTGATTCTTCAATAATGCAATAAAAGTTTTCTTCAAGAATTGAAGGTATCATGGAGAGTGTGATTAATATACAAATGATCTTTTAGGAGTACATATGACTTTTAAAGGGTCTCTTGCAGGATGTGTATCTGCAGAGACGCACAGGAGGAACTAAATGGGCTGAAATCGATTGGCAGAGGACTATTAGTTGATCTTCTTTTATTTGAGGACATTTCTGTGAGTTACATCATCTAAAAGCTCTCCGTTCAGATGTTTCCGTCTTTATGATTACAGCGTGAGTGATTGGATGTGGAGAAATGAGCTGTGTCTGCGCACTAACAGCGAGTCAAACACCGTAACTCATCCGTCTCCTCCCTGTTACCCCGGAGTGATAAAACAGACCCCCCCATGCCTCCATCTTTCCCCCGTCTCCCCTGCTGAGTTATGGGTGATGAGCGGGGGGGAGTCAAGAGGGAATCACCATCGCGCCGTACATCAGCCCCCCCCCTCCTGACCCCTCCCTCCCTCACACACACACACACTCTGGTTTAACAGGTCAATCACGTTTGATTTGCCCACAGGGAGCGCCCTCTGGCAGGTCTGATTGCTGCTGTTACCTTCACCTCCCTCGGGCCACACACACACTTAATTACACACTTACACACTTACACACTTACACACACACACACTTACACACACACACACACACACACACACACACACACACACACACTTACACACTCACACACACACACACACACACACACACACACACACACACACACACACACACACACACACACACACACACACACACACACACACACACACACACACACACACACACACACACACACACACACACACACACACACACAGGCCTGTCACAACACTGATAGCTAAATGACCTGCTTAGGTAGGTGTGTGTATCATGTGTGTTTGAAGTGTGTGTGTGTTATGAGCACACAGGACCTTGGTGCAGGGAAACATCAAGGCCAGCGGATGGACACTTAGCTGCCAGATGATTCTGAGGCAGACACACACACATGCACACACACACGTGCACACACAGGCGCGTTGTGCTCTATATATACAGTGGTGGAGGAAGTATTCAGATCTTTTACTGTGAAATAAAAATAATAATATAATGACTAATTATTATTACTGCAGTACAATTCTCTAAGCATAAATAGAGGGTCTATGGACAGAGGGTGTCGTATACTGTATACACTGTAAACCCCTCTGAGACAAATGGGACATTTGTGATATTGGGATATATTATTAACCTTAATTTGATTGATTAATACAAATTTCCTGGCTGTTTTACTATTATTTATGATATCATTTTGTTATTTTACTATTATTACTTATAATTGAATATTCTGTGGAATGTGTATCCAACCAGTTCCGTTCTATCCATTCTATTTCCTGTCTGTTTTAGTCAGTGTACAAATGATGGAAACAATAACTGTATTAACCATAATGTATTTGCTATGTTTCAGACATGAAAATATTTTCTTTTGTGCATATTTCATTTTTTCGCAACTACATTGCCCCTGTGGATGTGCCTTATGTGCCTTCATTATTGAATTTAAATATATAAAAATAAATACTTATTTCTATATATGTCTCTGGCTGTTGATATGTATATATTTACTGGTTATTTGAATTTGTACTTAATTTGATTATGCACTTTTGTGCAATGCATTGTCAACATGCTGCTGTAACAAAACAATTTCCCAGTTTGGATACAATAAAGTAATTCTAATCTAATGTTATGTTATGTAGAAAATATTTTCACGTGCTAATAATACTCTATTTTTGTTTGTTGCCCCTGGATACTCAGTTTTTCCTCACCGACGATGGAGAGGATGACGACCACGAAGTCGAAGATGTTCCAGCCAACGGTGAAGAAGTAGCAGCGCAGCGCCACAATCTTGACGAAGCACTCGAAGGTGAAGACGATGATGAAGGCCAGGTTGATGTTGTTCAGGATGTACTCCATTTGCGGGGACTGCTCGTCCGTCTCCACCATCATGGTGATCATGTTGAAGAGGATCAGCACCATGATGATGATGTCGAAGGCCTGCTTCCCCGCCAGGTCGAAGAAGAAGCCCTGCACAGAGTTCTGCACAGAAAAACAGATTCTTTAGCTTTTTCTTTTAAATATATTTTTCTTATGCATCATTGGCTGAGACAAGCCTTTATTCTTAACTTCCTCTGATTAGGACGTGTCTTTCAAATAAAGACAGTAAACTGTGTGTGGGTACCGTAGGTCTGGGGATGGGTTTCTGAGGTTTTTTGGAGCCGAGTTTCTTCATGGCGTTATAATATTTCTTCTGCTCCTCCGTCATGAAGATGTCCTGTCCTCCTAAGTGAAGAGACAAACAGCAAAAACTGTTATTTTACAGAAACAATTTGCCTCAAAACATTGTCTTATCATCCCATGATGAATGAAAACAGATCTTAAATGACTAAAATGGTAAATCAAGAAACTTGTGCAAGTAAAGCCCTTTGTATTTCTACGATTATCAAGCCTGTGTGCTTGGGGCTCTCAAAATAAAAGGCCTAAATTAGTGACCATAGTTACTTTGAGAAAAACAAGTCTTTCGCGTGCATATGAAAAGTCTTAGCTATTACATTTAACCATGTGAAAAATGGGAGCAAAAACAAAAGTGATGCGTTCATATTTTTGTGCACAGATGTATTTATATGTGGTCCATTGGTCTTGTCACAATAGTTCAGTCTGTTCTAAAATATGATCAATATTTAAGAGAAATATGTATTTTATGTTCATATGAAAAGCATCAGTTCTTCGGTGTGAAAACATGTCTTTGTGTATTATTTATTAAGCTTTTTTACGAGTATTATTTCTGTTTTCCCTCTGTGGTACTCATCTTTCGTTTCTGCTGGTTGAAGTTGTCAATGATGACTCCAATGAAGAGGTTGAGGGTGAAGAAGGAGCCGAAGATGATGAAGATGACGAAGTAAAGGTACATGTACAGATTGATCTCTTTGATGGGCTGCTCCTCCACCTGACAGGGAATAACAGCATTTAATAAAAGGAATACACACCCTTCTAAACATCATGTTGACCTTTAATAGTCATATCATTTCAGCTTTAAATTCATTACTTTCCGTCTTATTTTAAATGTTTTCACATCAACTAATATCATGCCATCTTTATTATAGTTTAGTTATTATTCAACAGCATTATGTTAAAAATGAAAAATATTTAAATTCATAAGCTTTATTTCCCCATATGTTTTAATATCTTGACTTTATCGATTTTTTTATGTATATATTTTTTCCATGTTTTTATTCCACTTAAAAAGATACTTTATTGACTGTTTTGTAATTTTCTGCAATTATAGTCTTTTAATATATTATGAGTTTTTATTTACAGATAATTTTATATTAAAAACAGGCAAAAAAATCACAAAACAGACACACGCAGTATGATGACATGAGAATACAACCTCACAATTGTACAAACAAATTCAAATAAAGAATCTTGGACTTACAGCTCGTGAATCCACCGCTGCATACATGATGTCCATCCAGCCTTTGAAGGTTGCCTTGAGAACAAACACACAAAAATAAAGAAATAAAAATGGTGCCAGCTGTGGTGATATAATTAATATCATATATATAATATATTGCAGTGGTGGTGAAATCAATCTGACAACAGGATAAACTAAAAAGGGCAAAATGCTTGATATTTTTCCTTTTAAATCTAATTTGTCATTCAAAAAAGATAATACATATGAATTAGACACATTACAATTATACTGTTAATTGTGCATCTATCATATAAATGTTTTTTATGGAAAAGAAGGATGAAAATAAAGGTGTCCACATTATTTTGTTCGTATAGTGTATGTTCATTTCAGCCCTTTTGTGTAATATTCCTGCAGTAACTTGCTACTGCAGGATTTTCTGCCTCTGTGTGTAAAATGTGAGTTTCTCTGCTCCTCCGTCACCAAGACGACGTGCTGCACACTTTCTGCACTTAAAGTGAGAAAGTGAATAAAAGCCACTCTCTCCTTTTAGCAGGAAATTAGCCGCTATGGAAACGGGGACGTTGTTTTGATCAATGAAGGATCAACACGCCCTTAAATGGACTTCCTTCCTCAGAGACACTTTATTCTGAGGGGGTGCGCGCTGTCCATCAATCACACCTGAAACCAGCCCATCGCCACGGTTACCACCTGTTGTTATTATGTTCAGTGGGATGTGAGAGAAAGGCTGTACGCTGTAAAAGATGACCAGCTCTTTTATTTTTTACGGACCTGGAGACTGTTTCAGGTAAATACTGACATATACTTCAGGACAGCTTTAAGATACTTGTACTCTCCTTAAGTATTTTCATGTTTTGCTACTTTATATTTCTACTCCACAAGATTTATTTCTGAAATTGCTTTTAAGTGAAATGTTGAATGCAGGACCTACACATAGACAACATGTTGCAGTGCACTACGAATATGTCTATGAATATCATCATATCAATGTGTAAGGGATTTAAAAAAATATATATATATTTAGTTTAAAACTTCATGATCACTGTAAGGAATGTTGTCTCCTGCACAATAATCAAAAGTTATGTAAGTGTTTTTTGTTGAATTTATGCTTTATGCAAAAAAGGTGAAAAGAAAATACCTTCATTCTTTTGATGGATGTATACACAACGGTTTAACCCATAGGTCTATGTATAGGTGTCTGTTTAAATGGTGCTTTGGCACTACTGTGTGTCATAATGGTCCTGTCAATAAAACTATTTGAATTTGAATTTCAGTCAAAAAAGAGTTGACAGCACTAATTGGATATGTCAGAGTCACAGATGTCTATAAATCCTCTCTCCCTGCATTTCTTTTCCTGTTTTCTTATTTTCTCTTCATATTTTATTTTTTGCAGCGTGGAGTTATTTCCAGATGCTGATGGAGGGGTTGCTCCCGCCAACTGTTGCCGAGCGACCAGCCAAACACGATGAGAGCGACATGTTGCCTTGGCAACTCTCAAGTTTATTTCTCCTTGATAATCCTCATTTTTTAAATTACATTTTTGTTCACATCAGCACTTTATTTATTGCTACATCACCAATGTCAAAAATATATATTTAAAATGATTTTCTTATACATTTACTTTTTTTATTACTTCTGTCTTTAAATGTTAATAAATCCAAAATAAATAAAGAACATTTGTCTATTTTTCCTTATTCTTCCCAATGTTTTTGTTTTTTAAATAAATGTTATTAGGTAATATCGTAAATCATTTTAATTTCAAGATAATACAGTAAAAATGTTACAGAACGGGCAGAATATTTCTTTTTTTAAACACAGCTATACAAAAAAAGAAAAACTCACGAAACTAAGAGATGGGGATGATTTATCGGTTTTCTTTTTCTCTAACAAATATTTGAAACTTCATAATTTCTACATTCCCTTTTGACTTTTTTACCTTTGTCCCTCGTTCAGATGTAAATGTTCTGACTTGTTCTCCCTAACTCCCCACTCCTTATACTCTTTTCTCTTCACCATTGTTTATTTCTTTCCATTTGCAGTTAAAATAATGTTCCTCCATGTGTTCTTTCCTCCCTCCATCTCTGTTTCCCTCCCACTTGGCTGCAGTCGCTCTAAAAATAAAACCCTCTCAGACGCTGATTGATTGGAGGCTCTCAGGACGCCAAGGTGGGCGACAGAGAGAGGGGGAGAAAAGGAAGGAAAGGAAGCAAAGAGAGATGGAAAGAGGAGAAGTTGCATTGCCTTATATTAGTGGCTTTGTCCATGCTCTGCTTGATAACAGATGATGATGTGAGTCAAAGCAAGAAATGGACGAGGAGGGGAAGCGGGAAAAAAAAGCTATAGGTTGTAAATACAGAACGAAACTGAGAATCACAAAGAAAAATAAATTCAAGCAAAGCAATACGTCAGAGAGAATACATTTAAAGAGGATCAATAACGAAGCATCAAACATAAAAAAGTAGTACAAAATATTAAGTCAAAGTCCTGCATTCTCTTCTGCATTATACATACAAAAGTATATTTATTTATTTATTATTTACATTTGAAAGGTATTCCTTGTATTTTCTTTTAAAAAGTAATTTATCATAATTGCTTTTTTCTATTATTATTATTATTAATAACTTTTTGCATATTGTATTTATTTAATTATTAAATGTATTTATTCATTCATTTTGGCTATATCTCACAATATATTTCATTTTACATGACTTCCCAACAAAAATACCGTAGGTAAAACAAACTAATGGGTATGCTCTCTTTTATAAATACATGTTCAATTTAGAAACACAAAGTGGAATAAAACAATGTAACAAAGAGGGACGCGAGAAGCCAGAGGAAGTAAGTGAAATCTAACACGACAAATGGAGACAAAGAGAAAGAGAGGGAGGGAGATGTGGAAAAGTCAGACCGATAAGAACAGGTGTGGGAGGGAAATTAAGATGAAGACAGCAAATGGATGGAAGGAAAGAAAAGAGGGTGAGGAGGGGGGGGGGGGGGGGGAGAAAAGTCAATCCTCCCACGGATACACTCAGATTTCATTTGAACTCGAGTTGTTGAGCAGGGTTTTCTCTGCTCTTTATTTCAAACAGACGCTTTTTAAATAATTTTGGACGACGACGACTTATCTTCATCTGCAGCCAGTACTAACATTTTAAACTTAAGTATAAGAAGTAATACTACAGTGTAGCAATACTCAGTAAAAAGCATGCCTTTATAAGTGTTATGTAAGTACATTATGGTTATTTTGCATTATTATTGTTATTATTTGTATTATTGCTATAATTATTTCTTTTTTTTGGAAATACCAGAATATCAAATAATAGGATGAGCTCATTTTAATTACTTATATAGTAATGGCTATCTTTATTGTATTTACTAATTCTTTTATTTTGTATTAATGATCTCAATCTGAAAAATAACTAGTGCAGTCAAAACTACAATATTGACCTTTGAGATGTAGTTGAGTAGAAGTAATAGAAGATTGAAGACACAGGAAATGGAAATACTCTGGTAAAGTACAAGTACCTCAGAACTGTACATGAGGTGTGTTCAAGAGAACAGTGTGTTCAGTGTTCATGTCTGTGTTTCAGTCTCAGCCCACGCTGCAAATTAAGCCCTGCAGGTGATTAAAGTGCCTGAACGCAACTTAAAATGCAGCAAATGAATCATGTAAGAAAAAACCCTTGACAGTTTTCTATTCTCTGATTATATTATGTATTATTAGATATTTAGTCTAATTAAAATAACTCGATTTTGCAACAAAATCAAAATGAACAAATCTGGAGATACACGGTTTTTACTGGGAGGGGATGTAGCACAAGTATATAGTTAAAAGTAAACTGGAAATACTCAACTCTCACCATTATGTTGTCATATATGCCCACGAATAAGTAAAAACTTGCTTTGGAAAAATGAGGAAAAAGTAATATTAAATATAAATATGAAAAAAATATTTACTTTTTTTCCCCAACACAGAACAAAAATAGAAATCTTAAAATAAATAAAATGGTTGGACTGATTCAAAGCAAATGTTCTTGCCAAAATCTTGCTGTTCTTTTGTTTCTTCATGGTTTACCGTTGTTAGGCGCTTTGGATAAAAGCTTCAGCGACATGATAAAGAGCGATAAATCACATTTCCTCACCACTTGCAGCAGCGCCAGGTACCCCGCCCCCACGTTGTCGAAGTTGACCTTGACCTTGGTCCAGTAGTAGAGCGAGGTGTCGTTGAGCGCCTCGCACTCGGACTTGTTGTTGACGAAGGCCGACTCGTAGATGTGACCCGTGCGGTTGACGCAGCGTCCGAACTTGCCGGCGAACAGGTTGACGCCCATGATGCTGAAGATGAGCCAGAAGATGAGGCAGACGAGCAGCACGTTCATGATGGAGGGGATCGCCCCGATCAGAGCGTTCACCACCACCTGCGGGCCAAAAACACCGTCACACACACAAGACACTGTCTCACACACACACTGACTATTTGAGATTATTGCACATAAAACACATCAAATTGTAAAGTGCAGCTGAAACAATATGTCCAATATGTAGCAAAACACTACATAGTGTAGTGATGTAGTAGGGCGGAGTCAGGTTGGAGAGGAATGTGTTTTCTGATTTATGTCTTTGAGGTTGACTTTATACAAGCTTTAAAGTTGGAATGTCAGATTTTGAATTGTAACTAAAGCTTGGGAACATACCTTATTCTGACATTATTCAGACATAAAAACATTTATTTGACTAACTCTTGTGTCGTGTGGTTTGGATCACAGTATTTTGTGATTTATGGAGTGATACTAAGAGATATCCAAAATGACTTTGGATATCTCTTTCTTGTAAACAAAACATATTTTGTGGAAAAGTTTTCTATTAAAACTTCTATTAAATAGAAGTAAGTTAGGTAAGTTTAAGTTCTATTAAATAGAAGTAAGAAGGTAAGTTTGAGAAACCGGCTCGAGATACACTTTTTGTTATATTCCATGGAATGCTCTTAACATCCCGATAGCAATGAATATCTTAAGTGCTTTGACAAAAAATCCATAAAAATATTTCATCTGTGGAAGCCGTAGTACTGTAAAAAGTACGACCAATCATTTTAGCCGGCCCGGCTAAAATAACTGGATGGCCTACCTGCCTGTCAGCCTTCCATCTGTGCACAAACTTATCTCGTGCCCTCATTGGTCATGTGCGCGTTCGTGTGTGTTGGAGGAGGGGCTCTATAAGGAAGTGGCAGATTTTCTCCGGTTGTGTATTTTCAAATTCTAGCGATCTCGAGCCGGTTTCTCAAACTTACCTACCCTACCTTTAATTCATCACTTAAATCTTGGATGCAAGGAATACTGCATAAAGCTGCTCCAATGCAACATTTAGATATTGAGGGACTCGATCTCTTCCCTTGCTCGGTCAAATCTGAACAAACTTTCTTTTTAATATTATTGTATTTTTGGGGAGAAATAATCTTCCTCTTCTTCTGCCTGCTCAGAGTGAGAGCTGAGTCAGCTAAAGTCGTTACTAAACACAAAAAAATTAAGTCGACCTGCCACTCCAGACCTCCTTACTGTGCCCACAATGCACTGCTTCTACCCAGAATCCCCTGCTGAGTGAGCAGTACAGCATTTTCCAAAATGACACCAGAGCTAATCGTATTAACCGAACAAAGAGGAGAGGACACGATCATGGGAGAGTGGAAGCTCAGACTTATTTCCCAGCATGCAACACAGAGTCAGCGTCCTGCACACCTTTCACATTTCACCTCTTAGCTTCAACTTATACTTTGTACTGGTGCAGTTCAAATGAAATTGAAAGTTTGAACTAACTGTCATTTTGTAATCAAATGATATTTTAAAACTTTGAATCCAAGTGTAAACTATAAAGGAACATAGGTTATTTGTTTTTATCAGAGGTGCAGTAAATACTCTGGGCTTGCAACATTATATACATGACACACAAAATAAAATATTAAAAGTTAAGAAATATACAAATATTCACTAATAGTATCATGTCAATGTATCAAATCAAAAGTACATTTCCTGCAGGACACTGACTCTGAGATATAGTAATACTGATGGATGAGACAGAAAACCTTCTTTGAGGCATTCAAATATGAAATACTGGTTATTCTGAAAGAGAGGAAGCTGCAGAAGAAGCTCGGGAACACTGACAGGAAGAAACGAGATGAGCCAATCAGAGAGAAGGAAACAATGACACTACGGATGAGATGATAGAGGATAAAACTCACACCTGGGTATCAGAAAATGAATGTGAAACTATTTTTTATTTAAATAATCTTTGCAGCCTGTCCATTGAATAATGAATAATAATGTACAAATGTTTTAAGAACTGTGTTATAATGCGGAAGTTTGGACAAATCTTTCACCATTTTACAGATTAAACAGTCGTTTTAGATTAATCCATAATGAAAGAAGCTCCACCTTAACCACATACAACAGTAAAATCCTGCTTGTACATTAATGTATGAGATATCGCATAATAATATAATAATCTTATATTTTTATACTTTATATACTCAAACAACATTTTACCAAACAATTTGGAGGAAATGTATGATATTTATACTTCCCTTGCAGTAATGGACGCCCAGGTGTGTTCGTTTTATTAATACTGACTCTTACCCTCATGCCTTCAAATCTGGAGAGGGCTCTGAGGGGCCGCAGCGCGCGCAGCGTCCGCAGGGACTTGATGGCGGCGAAATCTGAGTAACCCAAAGTGTTGGCCACCATACTGACCAACGACACCTGCAGGAGAGAGATAGGGGGAATAAAGGTAGAGCGGATAGACACATAAAGACCGAGGGAAAGACAGGAGGAGGAGAAGACAGAAGCAGGACGGTTAACTTCTACTCTGATAAAGACAGAGAGGAAGTCAGAGCTGTGGATTTGAGGAGAAAACATTTGTTAGATTTAATATCAGCCAACTCCTGCGGGAAAGGGAATAAATAGAGTTAGTCTCCTTTTTAATGATAAATTGAGGTATGACCTGTGAAAAAAAGGGGGAAATTGAAGCTGTGTAGACAAAGAAATTGGACAAATGTGTTAATATTCCTCTTTGACGTCCAAATAAACCGAATGTATTCAAACTTTGTAAAAGAAAGGGATGATTACTTTGTTTTTCGGTGAGAAATTACACAGATTAAAAAGTATTTAGAGCCACTGACATTTTAACCCTGTTTTGGATGTAAGGACAACCTGTTTTTCTTTGCAAAATAACTAGAAATTGGAGTTTTATTCATGCAGCATTATGTGATTGCATGAATGGAGTTGTGATTAAGGTGTTTTTCAGGAAATGTTTCAACATGATTGCATCAACTTTCTAAAGATGTTCAATTTAAAGCTTTGAGTTGGAGAAACATTTCAACCCAGTCACCAGAAGAAAAATTGTATTTAGGTGCTATTGAGGAAATGTTTAAAAAATGATTGCACTAGAACCAAATCAAAACTAAGTTACAATTGTAAATATGAGACTGCAACAAAGCCCCAAAAACCTACATAAAATGAATCTGAAAATAGGTTTATTCTCCAGCAGCAGGTAAACTGGAAGCTTAGGTCAAAGTTGAGTCTCCAGCCTGCTCAGCCCGACCACTTGAGAGCTTGATTTCCCCGCCCGGGCAGCAGGAGGCGGGTGGAGCTTACCCTGATACCAGCAAGACGGGACGCGGCCCGGAGAGGACGCAGGGCCCTGAGGGTCCTCAGCACCCGCATGGTGGAGAGGTGGTCCAAAGACAGGAACTGACCAAGCAGACCCATCACTGAGATCTACAGTCACACATTTAAACAGTACCCACCACCAAAGCACAGAACATTTCATTTGTGTTTTAGCGTCCTGTACTTCCTTGAATATGACCATACATTGTGTAAGACCTCCCTCACTCCACACAGACAGTGTTGAGTTTCAATGACACTGAGCAAAAAAACTGATTAGACATGATTGGAATGAATTTGAGTGGGGAGTATGACATTTTGTTGATTGAAATTTATGCTGCGGAAATGTTGAATTTATCAAGATAATGAAAGAAAATGCAAATTATAACAGGAGCAGATTAGAAAAAACTAAGGCTTGTAATCAAACATATAATAAGATGTATAATTCTTCTAATTCTATCCTGTCGTTTATTATTTTAGTTTTCAAAATTTTCATTTTTTGGGATATTATTTCTGAATACTTAAAGTTGTTTCAATACTAATTTCCTAATCCTGACTGCTTATCACCTTTATACATATTATGAACTTCCATTGGATTTGGTCATTTGTTATAAATACATGTATTTATTTGATCGGGATAATATGCTAATAAACATCAGTATAACATATAAGATATAAAAAGCTATCTGTATCGGTAATATTGGTATTTTTCAAGGTAATGTATCAAAGAATAAATTCCTGTATTTTAAAAATACTAGTCCAAACCTCATACTACAAAACATTATGAAAATCATCCAATTTTGAGTTTTTTGTTGTGAAGAATTTACAATTGTTCATTTAGTTTGAAATGTAGTTTTCCTCCCCTCTAGTAGTGGCTTGGAAACTGTTGAATGCAGCTTTGAGTGAAAGATATGCGTCTTTCAGTCTCTATTAATATCACTCTGCTCTGTTTTTTGTCTCAGATATTCATATTTAAACCTCCGTGACTCAACTCATCTCTCTCTTCAGGCCACTGCAGTCAAATAAAAACGTCTCATCATTTCTGAGGACGGCCAGGCGGAAAACACACAGAAACCCAGAGAAAGACACAAAGCTTTCATATGCATGGTGTGTTTCCAAAGTGTGTGTGTGTCGCTCTACCAACACATAATCCGGCACAGAGAAGTGAAAGAGAGAGTGTGTCTGTGTGTGAGTCCAAAGATACTTATCGCTGTGTGTGTATGCAGAGGTTAAAAAGCCACGGTTGATTTTCTGCCCTGAAGCTGTTTCTCTCTTTCTTTGTCTGTCTATGTCTCTCGCTCATTTTATTTATAGAGATTCTTTATTTCAGTGAAGCAAGTTTCAAGGCTTCAGGAAAAACGACTGTAACACACACTGCCCAAGTCAACACACTTGTCTCTTTGGGATTTTAACCTTTGCAGACCATTTACATGCACACAAACCCATATAACATACTACAGTAAAGGGAAAACCCCAAAAAGCATAACAGGGCAATTCAATAAAATGAATTACTGAAACTCAGGTAAACTGCAGTAAAGAAACAAGTAAAGTCAATGACCGTATATTGAAGTAGAATTGTTATTAAGTCAGTATTATTTTAAATGAAGTTTGCCATTACTTTCTTCACTATCCCTGTTGAATCATCACATGTTATTGTTCAAAGGACAGATCATTTAATGCATTGATAACTAGAAGATGGACTCACGTCTACGATGAGGAAGTCCAGCCAGCACCAGTAGTTGGTGAAGTATTTCTTGAAGCCGTAAGCGAGCCACTTGAGGAGCATCTCCAGAATGAAGATGTAGGTGAAGATCTTATCAGCGTACTCCAGCACCACCTTCACCACCTTCCTCTGCTCGATGTAGATGTCCTCAAAGGCCTAAACACAGCAGGGGTGTTACTTTTACATTTGGAATGCAGTCAAAGAGTCATTTCTTGCAAGGACGATTGTTAGATGAGGGAAATGACAGAAAGTATCAAGTGTCAACAATAATAAGAGCAGGCATAACCCTTACAGTGAGTATAAAGTAAACTGAAGTAGTATAAAGAATACTAAAGTACTTCTTATAGGTAGTTTAAAAATAAAGTACAGTGGTATATAGTAGACTTTAGTAGTACGGTATTTACGGTTTATGATTAAATATGACATGTCTGCATGTGTGTCTGTCTCTTTCGCTCTGTCTTGTGTGTCTCTGTGTGTGCTTGTGTGTGTGTGTGTGTGTGTGTGTGTGTGTGTGTGTGTGTGTGTGTGTGTGTGTGTGTGTTTTCTTCACCAGGGCTCCGGAGCTCAGCAGGATCATGAAGATGATGAAGGATTCGAACCAGCTGTGCTCTACGATCTGAAAACACGTCTTCCTCAGCCTCCACCAGTTTTGCCCCGAGCCCCCACTCGTATCCACGTCACAGCACCTGAACCTGGACGTACAGACTGCACACACACACACACACACACACACACACACACACACACACACACACACACACACACACACACACACACACACACACACACACACACACACACACACACACAAAGAGAGAGAGACATAGGTGACAATCCCAAACTAAAAATGTCAAACTAAGGATAGTTAATGAAGACAATGAACTCTGATGGACAATATTCACATGTCTAACCCAAACCCAAATCACATTAGAATAATGTGATAATAATTATATGCATTAATTTCTCTCGCGCAGTTAAACAATATGAGAAAGAAGCGTGTGGCTTGCTCAAGGGCTCGCTGCTATTAGCAGTGCAGCACATACGGGGGGTCATGTCTGCTTTGTTGTCCTGCAGATGACCCGGAGCAGAAAGTGCTCCATCTATCCTGCAAACATGCAAACAAGCATTATGTCCAGTGTGTGTGTGTGTGTGTGTGTGTGTGTGGAGGCTTTTTGTCTTGCATAACTATTTTGTGAAGCTGCTGTTTTCCTCAGTGTGTGTGTTTGCTTGACTTAAGAGTCTTTATTAGACACATTTTCTAAACCGCAGCCTCACATATTTGGTATCTTTGATAACTTCAGAGAATCTGAGATGCAATTCAAAACTCCAGTAATTAGAGAAAAAAACAGGCGTCAGGAGGTTAACATGTGGGATAACTAGCCACAACTATTAATTTACGGTTTTCTGATATTGGTCCATTAAAATGTGAAAAGACATTTGAACTCTTTACAAGTTGTTATTCTAATCAGAATGAGGTTTTGTAAGGAAGTTTTGTAGTATTATATTTCACTGTCTCTGTTTTTGTGTGTTGCCCTTTGCAACAATTTAAATGAAAAATAAAAGGAATGTATTTACATGTGTATAACTTTGTATATGATTTCTTCAAGCAGAGAGCGTCTAATGGTTCTGAAACAGACGTCATCAAGGGTTTTCGGTTGCAGAAATTGCTGATAACAACTATCACATTTCTGTTGCTGGTCTTATCGCTGCTCTTTGTCTGTGTCACTAAAAGCTTATTGCGAAAATGTCTAAATTCAATTATTGTGTCTAAGAGGGGATGAAAAACTGCAACCTGACACCGGGAAAACTTCTGCAGTCAAGCAAGGCCTGATGGCAGCGGAGTATCTCAGAGAGGATGTATTTTACCCATAGAATAAGACGTGCATTCCCTATTTATTGAGAAAAATACAACTTGTTATACTTTTTTGTTCAGCATTTATGTGATAGTTGGTTCGGCCGCACTGTAAACAGATAAATAAATGCATTAAAACCTGTACCAACTATACATCTGAAACGTCTAAGATATATATTTTTAAATACTAGTATTTACTACTATGCAATCCATTTGAATTAAGATATGAAATTGAAAATGTGAAAATGTTTTCCCAGCATTATTTAAGTCACAATTTTTGAATAATTGAAAATGGAATTTGAGACAAAAACTTTTTGGCAATATTGCATTTTTAAATGACAATTGAACATTTAAACGTCATTATTTAAGTTACAAATACAATTCAAACTGGAATGATCTAACCCAGGGATGGTCAACTTGGATGGTGGTGGGGGCAACATCATTTATGTACTGGCCACCAGGGGGCCGCAGATTCACTTGGAACACACACACACACAAATTCCATGTATTGTATGTAATTAATAACAAATATACTAAGTCTGACATCTTCATTGACATTTTACAATCTTTCAGGGAACATCCTCTAATAAGCTCACTAAACAAATATCACTTCACAGAAATGTTATTTAATTTTTACAAGTGGCATGTTTGTATTGAACAGGTTATTTAACAGTGGAATAAAACTATTTTAAACTATTGGAAAGCACGGAAAATGTGTGTGCATCAAGATTAAATATTAAGATGACATAAACATGAAGTCAGGAACACTAACCCAGACATTAGTTGTCTAACTTGAACCGAAGACACTTGTAGCCTGTCTCTGCATTCCCCTTATTCCACAATAAGGGGAATGTCAACACAGACACCTGTCAACCCGCACTCTGCTGTTCCCCCTCCCGCTGAAATTATGAATGAAAAGTGTATAGTAGTCATAGATAACACGGCAGGGTCCGTGACAGTTTGTTTTCATCTCATTTCAAATAAACAAAGTCTTGGTTTTTAGAATATTAAACTTGTTTCGCCAAATTCAGATGATAAATACAACTTTTAAGCTTGTAAAGGCATAATTACAAGAGGTAACTTAATGTCACAGCAGGCACAACAACAGCCGGTGTTTCTTGTGAGTGTTTCCCCGGGAAACAAACACAATACACACACGCATCACAGATTATTTCGTGCTATTTGGCTGCCGACCGAAATCATGTATGCAGCTCGCGACGTAACTAGGAGTCTAGTGGACGGTATCAGTACTACAAGTAAAACAATTAAAACATTTTTCTTATTTTTATTAATTACGTTGTTTATAAATTAATCTGAGGGCCGCAAAAAGAGTTGGTGGGGGCCGTATGCCATTTACCCATCCCTGATCTAACCAATTGAAAAAGAAAACAGCATTTGACAAAGATTAGAAGAAGACTATATCTTAATATTATAATACTATCATACATTTTCATTTTCAAGTAACATTATCATTTGAATAAAGTCTCCCTGGGCTTCCATCACGGCAGATATTAGTCTTAATCAACAAGAAGTGACTAACTCACATTGAGATTGCAGTGTGTGTTTCCTGCGTGTGTGTTCTCTGATTGCAGCTTCTCTAATTAAGAGTCTGATTACCAGTGTTCTGTTGCCATGGATACTAATGGGCCTGTAATCCAATGAAAACAAGCGAAAGGTAATCCGACACTCAATCAGCCTGTTATTATGAGTGTGTGTGTGTGTGTGTGTGTGTGTGTGTGTGTGTGTGTGTGTGTGTGTGTGTGTGTGTGTGTGTGTGTAAGGAATCCCCCTCTGCAGTAATAAACACTTCTTCAACAATAACCTATTATTGAACGACTGATCACATCAGCTGTTGGGGAAGCGGACCCCTTTTAGGGGCGCTCGTTCTTTTCGGCGCCACATTGATCCAGGATCGATCAGGAAATGCCCCCCCCCCCCCCCTCCCCCCAGGTGATTGCATTTGACCCTCCACTAAAGCGCTCTACGCTTAACATATCCACAAAAACACTCATATTAGTATAAGTATCTCAAATAGATCAAATCCAAGGTAATCCACTGTAGCATTCAAAAAAGTATCATCAAAATCATTGGAAGATCCTTTTACTTCTTTTGGTGTTTTCCGAAATAATATTTATATTATTATAGAACGATACATTATTTCAGCAAACAATATTCTAAAACTTAAACGCAATGTTAACAATTATATATGATTTTCTGTTTATGCATGCAATATTTAAAGGTCCCATGTCATGGCCATTTCTACTGATCATAATTCCATTATTGAGGTCTACTAAAATAGATTTATATTGTGCAATTTTTCAAACTCACATTGGTTTCTCATACAGCATCTCTGTATAGTATGTGTATTCACTCTCTGTCCTAAACGGCTTGTTGGAGCTCCTGCCCCCCCCTCCCTGTGAGCCCAGTGGCCGTCTGCGAGACAGCGAGACACAGTGAAACCCAGCCCGAAACCAGCCCGAGTACACACACACACCCGCAGCCTGGCTGTGAGTTTGTGTGTGCTCACACACAAACTCACAGCCTCGCCGCGTCCCGCCGTCTCAGGGAGGAGAAATCGGCGGAACTTGCACCTGAGAAAAGATTGAGTGTGTGTGTGTGAGGAAGTCCGCGGATTGGTCCATTTGGACCAATCCACGGACTTAATGTAACGGCTCCGCGGACGTAACGTAACGGCTCCACAGATTGGTCTATTTGGACCAATGGGTCCATTTGGGTATGGGCATGTCACTGTACCCAGGAAGAAAACAATGGAAAAATAGAAATCTCCAACGAGGCGTTCTGGGGCAGCCTAGACAGGTATTTTCTGTGTTAGAGTTTTACTCGCGACAGGGTGTACTTTGAGGGTTTGTGACTCTGCAGACCGTTTACATGCATAAAAACCTTCATAACACACAAGGGGACGGGTAATAACCAGAAAAGCATGACATGGGACCTTTAAGTCAAACTGTAAAAAGAAAGATCTACAACTCCTTTCTGTGAAGGATTATTTTAGATGTTTTTAGGAAAAAGTCAATTCTGATGAAGCGACAAAGTGAGCGGCAGAGCGTGTTGCTCAAGGGAACTTTGGGAGTCGCACCTGAGACCTTCAGGAAGTCAGAGCGGCTGCTGCAGGCAACATTGAGCCCACTCAGGCAGAAACACACACACACACACACACACACACACACACATTATCCCTCTCTATCGCGTGTCATGCAGCTTCACAACATTAACCAATGAGCTGGCATTTAGAGGACCAATGGGGCGGATAATCTAACGCCCGCTGTCAGCACAGATGTGTGGGTGTGTGTGTGTGCATGTGTCTGTATGTGTGTGTTACACAATCTGTGGATTTTTACATTGGCATGCAAGATTTACACTATTTTCTCTGCATGCATGTTGGATAACGATGTGTCTTTATAAGTGAGGTACACTGCGGGTATGTGCATATAACCGTGTGTGTGCATATAACCGTGTGTGTGCATATAACCGTGTGTGTGCGTGTGTATGTGTGTGAATGGAGATAACAGCAAAATAATGAGTATTTAATGTCTGGACAATAAGACCGATTGTGTTCTCCTGCGTTTTCGTGGCCCAACTGTGAGCATGATAATAGGGTTTCATTTATTATGCTAATGAAAATTGTGCCAAATGATTGACAACCTATTGTTTTAAATTAATAAATCTCCATTCAATATCAATGAAAACAATTGAATGCAAAATGTAAAATAAAAAGGGGCAGTTTGATCAATGAAAAAACTAATATTTATATAAAACAAGTTGAAGTTAAAACAATTTTTTGCAAATTTTACAATATTAAATGACAATAAATATTTAAGGAATATGTAAAAAC